TCAACTGAAGACCAAGGAGACTAAATAGGCCTGAGGAGTCTATATGGACTAGCTAAAGGCCAGAGAGGCTTAAGAGAAAAGGTGAAGACCAGAGAGGCTATATTGACTCATTACGGGTCAGAGATGTCTAAGTCAAGTAAGTTTTATAGATAAACTCAATGCCATAATGACCACAGAGTCATGAGGACTGCACAGACAAACCAAGGGCTGGTGGATCGTAAAGACCCGAAGTTTGAAAGCTATGTCGAAAGCTTCGCTTGGCCGTTGTGAGTTTTTCTATGGATGAATTGATCTAATACGATTTGGTAGTCTTCTCTCTACAATAGACGAAAAGTATATTCAGACACAAAATCTACATAAACAAGGTAAAAGAGCCAGTGAACCTCCATGGACAACCTGAAAGGGCCATGAGGCCACATATCATTTTATCCAGTCTGTACTCTTTATTTCTTTCTTTCATTTATGTATTTAAATTTTTTTTTCATTTTTCTTTCTTTATTCACATGATACGAGCGTGAATCAATATTTTGCTTACTTTAGCATATTTTCGGACCTTCATCGCCAAGCCAGTGCAGTTTATCAGAAGTTTTGAAACTCTAGACTTTATGTAGCCTGTTTCATACAGAGTCTTATCGTTTACTTGGGGACACATGAAAGGGGTCCCTTGTTGTCTGAGCAAAATTGCAATGTTTGCACTTTTTTTTTTTTTTTTTGAAACGGCCATTGAATATTTCATATTGTTGTTATAATTTAAGAATTTTTTGATTCAATATTTATTTATCAAATTCCCGTTTTGGTTTTACAACCCATGGCCCAATAACAAATAATAAAGGGGGTTCAAAAAGTGCCACAAATCAGATACTCTCACTCTCTCTTTCTCTCTCCCTCCCTCTCTCTTGGCCAAATCACAATAAAAGGGGGTTTTTAAAGAAGTGCCACCATGACCAGACATTCTCACGCTTTCTTTCTCTCTCTCCCTCTCTCTCTCTCTCTCTCTCTCTCTTCATGAGCAAATCGCCGAAGATTGATGAAAAATTATAAAATCTTAAAAATTTTTTTTCAAATGACCCTCATTTTTATTATTTTCCTCATTAGTTAATTTCATAGAACGACCATTCTCCTAATTGTTTATGCAAATTGAACCCTTATAATGAAAACGTAACCCTTAAATTATAATTCCCTAACAATCAAAGACCGAAACACACACACATGAAATCCACAGGAGGCAATGGGACAAACCGCCTACTTCGTAGACATCTAAATTTTGTAATCTCTGCCTTGAATGTGTCAGCAAATTGTAAAAGATTGTCCCGCATGATAGCGGCAGTCGCTTTCGCCGCCTACACCCCATCGAGATTTGGTGACAAACTCACTAAATTACTATCTTCCAACTGTGATATGATATTGGAAAAGAGGTACACCAAGGGGTTACCCTCTAATCAGTGTTGGAAAATCTCACCGTTTTTTAGATGAATGACAAATTACACTTATCTCTGGTTGGGCTCTGACTGGCAAATAAGATATGAGATTTGTGGTTAGAGATGTCATGTGACATCTTGATAACGAAGGATGGTGGGTAGGGGTAGGAGGGGAGCTGTAAATTGACATTATTTATTAATGCTTCATGGAAATTGGATATTTCATTGGATTCTAGATGAATAAAATAATAGGTGATTAAATATTGATTTAAATGGGAGATTTTGTGAATGGGCCTCTTTATTGAGAAACCGCAGGGATTCTTGGTGAAAGACCACAAGAAATTCATCAGGGACTACCAGGAGGTAATTTTATTAGGCGTCAAACAGGGTGTGTTTACCGGTTACAACAAGACAGCTTTAAAATACAAAGGATGACCACAGGTGGGACTTAATCAAATGAAATGTTAGATAGTGCAGCGTATGCACACCATACGATTATAGAGAGACATTCATGGCACAGTAGTCCGGGCATTTTATCTCGTCTATAGGAATTGACTTTACTGACATGGACTTGTGGAGCTCACATATGGAGGGACTCACATTGACCCGAATCGGCTTTTCAATATATAGCCTCATTAGTTCGCGCAAACTTTTTTATGGATAACATAACATCTCTGGTCTTTAGATGGGTCCACTGGCCTACACCAAGTAAGAGCATCTCTTATCTACAGCTGGTCCATAGATTTTTTAACTTCAACTTGACTATAGAACTTTTCTGGCCAGTTCATATGACCTCCATGACCACCAATCAGCTTCTGAGCCGTACGACAGCTCGAAACAGCCGCTTTGGCCTTAAGCCAGTCTATATAATCTCTATAGCTCCCAGTTGGTCTATAACCCTCTTTGACGTTTGGATAATCCGACTTTCATTCTGGCCCGGCAATTGCAGTGCTCTAACGACTTGGACTAGTCCAGCTCGCGTATGGAGGGATTCACATTGATCCGAATCGGCTTTTCACTATATAGCCTCATTAGTTCGGCAAACTTTTTTTATGGATATTATAACATTTATTTTCTTTAGATGGATTCACCGGCCTGCACCAAATCAGAGCATCTCTTATCTATAGCTAGCCTATACATTTTTTTTTAACTTCAACTCGACTGCTGAACTTTTCTGGTCTTTAGCAAGTTTATATGACCTCCCTGATCAGCTTCTGAGCCATACGACAGCTCTAAACAGCCACTTTGGCCTTAACCCAGTCTATATAATTTCTATAGCCCCCAGTTTGTCTATAACCCTCCTTGACATTTGGATAATCCGCATCGCCTGCATGGTTTTTACAACAACTCTAAGCAGCCACTGTAGCCTAAATACAGTCTATATAACCTCTATCGTCTCGAGTTGGTCTATAAACCCTCCTTGCCGTTTGGATAACCCGCATAACAAATTTGGCTTTTATTTCATCTTTATCGTTTCCATGGCCCTTAGCTCGTCTGTACATTCCCTATGGTCCTCAACTGGCTTTTATAGGCTCCTAGGCATTTTATCCGTCTTTATAGCCTACATGTTTTTCTGCTGACCCATATGGTCTTCCTAATCATATTTACGTCTTTTTCGTTTGCTTTTTATAAAACCTCTCCAGCCATCAGACCATTCACATAACCTCCCTGATATTCAGATTGTCTATATAGACTCTCGGGCTTTTGGCTAGATACTAAGGTTTCCCTGGCCTTGAGTACATCTATTTAGCATATCCGGCCTTTAGCTCATTTTTGAAGACTAATTGTCTTCCAGGACGACTGTATGGCCTCTCTGATATTTTCTTGATCCTACGGCCTTCGTTGCCTGTAGTTCGTCTATATAGCTTAGTTGATATTCAGGCGGTGCATTTAGCATCCCTGACTTCTAGGGAGTCTGTGCTTTTTTTGCCTTCAACTGGTCTATTTGCTGCTTCAACACGCCTATGAAGTCGATTTTGCCTCTAACGGTTCCATATGACCCAACTGACATTCGCCTGGTCCGTAGAGCTTTTCTGGGCATTTGCCTCTAACGGTTCCATATGGACTCTGGTCTTCACCTGGTAAGGGTTTTACAGACCCTTAACTGGTAAATACTACCCAACTGCCACTTACACAAATTTACTGACCTTCATGCTCGCTCTTACAGTCTCTTTGGCCCTTAGCTAGCCCATAAAGACCCCTTGACTATACTGTAGTATATATGGCCTTTCTAGTCATCAACTGCTCCATATTCCTATAATGGACTTTAGTTAGTCCATATAGATCGTCTACCCTTCAGCTGGTCTATGCTTTTCCATTTAGCCTCTCTGGGCGACTAAAACTCTCCTTATTTTGACTCCAATTGCCCAGTCCCAATTCGACTATTGGGACTCGAATTGCTCCCTCACAACTCTTCTATAGAGAGACTCATACTGACTCAGTCTGTTCATGTGTCTAAAGAAACACTCACACTGCTCTGTCATAGCTTTTTATACCCTCCACAATACTTAATTTTGCACAGATCAGTCTTTTGTCTGCAGTCGGGTCAGGTTCGAAGATGGGCTTTATCGGTTTACGATATCATAAATCCCCCATATAACGGTATCCCGATATTCGGTATTTTGATGATTGTAGCCAAAAATTTTTTTAATGAAATTGTCTTAAAATTTACACAAGGAGTTCCTTCTGGGTACTTTAATAGAGAATTGTCTATACAGATCCACGATATCGTATACCCCCCATTTGACGGTACCCCTCAATATTTGGTATTTTGATGATTATAGCAAAATTTTTCAATGAAATTATCTGTTCAAATAGCTCCTTCTGAGTACTCTTCCCCCTGGAAGAGTATTGTCGACATACGTCTACGATATCGAAAATTCCCCATATAACGGTACCTCCCTATATTCGGTATTTTGATGATTTTAGCTATACTTTTCATTGGAATTGACTGAAAATCCACACAATAAGTTATTTTTGACTACTTTAGTCCCTGGAAGAGTACTGACTATATAGGTCCACGATATCATATAGATCCCATATTACGGGACCTCCCGATATTCGATATTTTGATGACTTTAGGGACATTACTCACCGGTGTTGTTTCAAATTTCATGTTTAGAGTTCGTAATGCGAACTAATATTGTCCATGCAGGTCCAGGTCTTCGTAAAGTGCCCATATATCGGTACCTCCCTACATTCACCGGATTTTTTCAAGTTTCGTATTTGAATATTGTAATGCCCTTTGATAAAAGTTGCCTATGCGGGTTCACGTCTACGTATAGACCCCTATATAACGGCTTTATTCGGCACTATTAAGATTTTAACATAATTTTTAACCGAAAATTTTCAAATTCGTTCCAAATGGTGGAGGGTATTCAATATTCGTCCCGGCCGAACTTGTTGTTTTTTTGCTTGTTTTTTCTCTTTGAGACTCCAAGTACTCAGTCGCCGTATGTCTATGAAGTGTGGAACTCTCTAGTGGAACTCTCATTGACCCGACACAGCTCGTCTATTTGGACTTAGAACTCATAATCCAAAGCAGCCATTTATTTATTAATTTGTATATTTTCCTCCTTTCAGATTTAATGGAAACGGCAAAACGTTTTACCGAACCCGAAATAGCATCCTATTCCGAAATGTTGGTTGATGTGGCGCGAAACCAAATTATTGTGGGTGCAAGGTAAGTCGAAGTTACATTTTTAACGCCCTCAATTGGTTTGTCAATTTGCCTGCCAAACCAAACAAATTTTGAAAATTTTTTCCGACCAAAAAGCAATTTTTTAAATTTAAACTTTATACCCAAATTTCCACTTTTAATTTTCCGATGACAATATTCCAACCAAGCCGACAAAATATTAAAAATGTTTTCCTTAGAAATTCATCATTAATTTTTGGGGTGCAATTTTTTTCAACCACCCACCATTTTTTGTTTTTTTTTTTATTATTTTATTCCCAACAAATTTTAAAAATATCCTCCTAGAACTTCAAGATGTAATTTTAGGTTGAAATATTGTTTTTGATTCATCCCAATATTTTTTGATTTTTTTTTTATTCCCAAAACTTCAATATTGATTTTTGGGGTAATAACCTTTAAATTTTTCTCTCAGAACTTCATCATTAACTTTTGGGGTAACATATTTTTTTCAACCAATCCCACCATTTTTTGATTTGTTATTATTTTATTCCCAAAATTTCAACATTTAATTTTCGAGTGAAAATTTTAAAAAAATTCCTCCCAGAACTTCAAGATGCAATTTAGGGTTGACAATTTGTTTTTTACCCATCCCAACCTTTTTTTTTTTTGATTTTTTTTATTTTATTCCAAAATTTTTAACATTAAATGTTAGGGTGATAAATTTTAAAATTTTGCTCTCAGAACTTCACATTTAGTTTTCGGGTGACATTTTTTTCGACCAATCACAATTTTTTTTTTTTTTTTGATATTTTTTTTATTTTATTCCCAACAAGGTTTCTACACTTTATTTTAGAGTAACAAATTTTAAAATTTTGCCCCCAGAATATCAATATTTAATTTTTGTGACATTTTTCGAACAATCCAAACATTTTTTGATTTTTTTTTTTAATTTTATTCCCAAAGTTTCAATCTTTAATTTTTGAGTGACATATATTAAAATCTTGGTCTCAGATCTTCAAGATTTAATTTTGGGGTGACATTTTTTTCGATCAACTCGAGCCTTTATTTTTTTTTAGTGTTTTTCCCAAAAATTTGAATTTTCGACAAATCCGAGAAAATTTCAAAAATTTGCTCCCAATTTTTCAACATTGAATTTGAGCGGCATTTGAAGAGATTTTGTAAGGTTTCCCTCTAGATTCGAGAGTTTAGAAGTAACCTATATTATCTTAAAACAAAAACTTATCAGATACCCTCTAATGTCCAACAGAACGAAAACTATCAACACCACCTCTTTATCATTACGAGTACATAGATAAAAACAAACCTATCTTATCGGCTATATAACTTATGAAATAGCAATAAACGATTTGATAAAAAATAGAAGAGTTCTGAAAATTAAACTGGGTTAGGTGCCCTCAAAAAAAAAAAAAAAAAAAAACATAAATAGTAAATAAATACAAAAAAATTGAAAACAAATTTGGTAATATTTGGAAAGGCAGGAGAATCCCTTTAAACCCAAAACCACCTAACTCATTTGTGGTTTGCCGTTTTGAATACGGCGCGTGTTATCAAAATAGTTATTGATAGAAGAGAGGAGGGTGGAAAAGAGGGAGTAGAAAATAAAAAATTAAATGAACATACACAAAACGTAGAAGAGAAAATTGAACTATAATTTCTATTGACAAACAAAACGAAATGAAATTCAATTCCAATTCCAATTTTTGTTTTTTGAAAATTTGATAAGAGAACCATGTGGTCAGCACGAATTGTAATTGTAGACGAGTTTTTTTTTTTTTTTTTTTTTTTTTATTTGTGTTCGGTTTGAGCTTTTTGTGATTTAACTTGGGCCATAAATATTGCCATGTAACACCCCTCATTATCGGCGAATGTCTGTTTTATTTAATAGTTTTTATTTTTTGTTGGGATTCAATTTTTGTTTCAAAATTTCCTAACCATAGTCCAGTTTAGCCAGGGTCAAATCAATGATATTTTATTACACGGCGACCTTCCTCAGAGATAGTGATAATGGGGACAATGATCAGACACAGATAGAGATAATGGAGACAATGTTCAGCCATAGATGGAAATAGAAAGACAATGGGAGGAGGGGGAAGAGAAAAACTCAACATTTTACCTTTTATGAACTATTATTTCCATTGAAGAATAATTAGAGGTTTGGCAGCCTTTCAAAGTCCCCCTACTGGGTCCAAATGTCTGCAGAAGCTCTCAATATTTAGAAGACATCTAGAAGACTCAGATAATGTCCACTTTTGGAAACCATAGAAAACCTCATAAAAGCCGAAAGTCATAGAGGACTTCTACAACAGGGTCAGGCAAAAGCAGGTATGCGTGCCTTCAATATCCATAATTCTTTCCACACAGTAACAAAAATTAGGAGAACATACAAGTGCGGCTCTCTATCCGGCTCTGCTCTACAAAATGTCTTAGAAGTTGATAGTGGCGACAGCGTTCGTAGAGTTAATGCAATAGGGAGATTGAGAGAGAGAGAAAGAGAGAGTACAAACAAAAACTTTATTTTTTAACTTTAAGGAATAACTTCTTTCATTGAGGAACTGTAAGGGGTTCTGTAGAAGATCCTTACAGGGACTCTCAGTTACAGTAAGTCACATAAATTTCTTCTACATTTAGAAGACCCCGAGGATGCTCATTTTTCGGAAACTATAGAAAATCAAATTAAAACCCTAAAGCCATTGGAGATCTAAAAAATCCCCAGATTCAGAGAAAGAGTGTAAGAGAGTGAGAGAGAGGGAGAGAGAGATCGTGATATTCAGACGAAAATCATGATATTTTACCTCTGAGTCATTAATTTTTAATTGGGAACTATAAGAGGTTTTTGAGTTCTGGACATCCTCTCTAGGGTGTAAATGCTATAAAAGACCCCTACAGGGGCTTTCACTTACAGAAAGTTTCTGGAGGATCTTCTATGTGTAAAGTTATCCAAAAGGTCCAAATCGTAATCCTTTTAAAAAGCTAGAAAACCTCTTGAAAGGCCTTGAAGAAGACCTCTATAAATCTCTTAGCTATAGACTATGAGAACAATGATCGTAGAGCAATAGCAAGAGAGAGAGAGAGAGAGAGCGACAATGAGAGGTAAGTTAAAACACGATAATTACTTTTAAGAGAATATACTTTTTACTGAGGAACTATAGGAGATTTAAAAATTCTAGACAACCTCTAAAGATGTAGGCGGTATTCTGTCAAAGACTGATATATTAACTCTCACCTACAGATAGTCTGTAAAATATTTTCTCTCCGTTGAAGATCTCTAGAAGACCCAAATAATTTCTACTTTTAGAAGCACTTGAAGCCTCTTGAGTGTCTAAAGTCATATAACTGAGGAACTAGAGGAGATTTAAAAATTCTAGACAACCTCTAAAGATGCGGTATTCTGTCAAAGACCGATATAGTAACTCTCACCTACAGATAGTCTGAAAATGCTTTCTCTCTGTCGAAGACCTCTAGAAGATTCAAATAATTTCTACTTTTAGAAGCACTTGAAGCCTGTTGAAAGCCTAAAATCAGATAATAACTCTACAGAATGTGTCGGCTATAGATCATAGGGAGAATGGTAAAATAGTATTAGCGAGAGAGAGAGAGAGAGAGAGAGAGAGAGAGAAGGAGATTAATAACACGATATTTTACCTCTAATGAATTACTCTTTTTCACTGAGGAACTATAAGAGATTAAAAAATTCTGGACAACATCTCAAGATGCTATATTCTTTAAGGGACCCCTATAGGGACTCTCAATTACAGAGAGTCTTTAAAACGTTTTCCCTCCGTAGAAGATTTCTAGGAGACCTAAGTAATGCCTACTTTTAGAAACTCTAGAAACTTGTAGAAAATCTAAAGTAAGATAATACCTCTACAGAATGTCTCGGCCACAGATAATAGGGACAATGATCAACAATAAAGACAAGAGAGAATGATCGATAGAGGTATAGCAAAAACACGATATTTCACCTCTAAGAAATTACTATTTTTCGCTGAGGAACAATAAGTGATTCTTTAGTTCTGGACATCATGTCTAGGTTTTACATTTTTAAGGGATCCCTACAGCGACTCAGAAACTCTCAGTTACCGAAAGTCTCTCAAGGATCTTCAATGTTTAGAAGTTCACCAGAAGATCCAGAGGATGGCCTTTAAAAAAAATCTTTAGAAAACCTCTTTAAAGCCACAAGAGAACTCTATATATTAGATATCTTGGTCAGAAATAATGACTACAATGATCAAAGATTAATAGCAAGATAGGGATCAAGAGAGAGAAAGAGAGATTGAGAGAGGAGAGAAGAAATTAAAATACGGTATTTTACCCCTTGTGAATTTCTTTTTTCATGGAGGAACTCCCAGATTATTTCAATTTTAAGACAGTCTCTAAAGGGTCGATATATTATAAAAGACCCCCAATAGATCTCACAGTTACAAAAAGTCTTCAAAAGGTCTTTCACAATGTCTCAGGGAATGTTCTCTTTAAGAAATAAACTCTCTTAAAATCCTAAAGCTTTTTATGCCGCATAGCTAATACCCAGTTATTCAGAATCTTTGTTTCCTGGTCAAAATTCGGTATCTTTTGTCCTCAACAATAATTATCAGGATTAGAATGTTCAGAAGTTTCCGAATTTTGACCAAAAAACAATGATTCTGAATCGCTGAGTATTGATTATGCCACATAAAAGCTTTGTGCTTTCAAGCTCTTGAGCTATGCAGCTTTTAAACCCTCCCCCCCCCATTTTTCCAGCCAACTTGGGACACTCATAATCCCATGTCGAGAACACGCAATGACATTATTTTCTTATGACATTCTTCCCTCTCTCTCTCTCTCTCGGAAAATATTGACTTAAAAACTAACATGTCTATGCATAATTAATAGGCAATGGTCAGCACGTAGCGTCTATGTTGGTCGCATGCTTGTGTGCCTCTGTGCTTATATTCCGAATATGACATTTCAGGAATAGCTAGCTAGACCATTTGAAAAAAATCATGAAGACATTTGAATATATTTCAACTTTTCTTTCAATTTCATTA